TTTCAGAGCCCAGGAGTGCTGGAAGAGAGGTGCTGGCTGTAGTTTGCTCTCACTGTATCCTATGATCCTGGCTCTTCCCAGTCAGAACAAGAAATACTGAAGATCAGGAGTAGAGGGAGAACAAGTTCCTTAGAAGCCAGAAGGCTCAGGACAGGGAGAGAAGGACTGGCCTCTGGATGAAGACAGAATGCAGGGGGATTTCATACATATCAGGCTCCAGAAGGGCAAGTGTAAAAAGGTGGTGAGAACAATGATGGGAGAAAAGGAGACAGTTTCAGGACAAAAGGCTAGTCTGGTGATGATGCTGATGGCTATTCACCACCACTTACACAGATACAGAGCTGAGGGAAGTTCTAACTGATATTTATTCAAGTCCTCTGATGACAGATCAGACTCCTGAGATCTGGAAAGTGTTACATATCATTATTCTAAACAGGGTTATAAGATAGAGTAAGCATTTATAAGCCATTTAGCTTAACATCATTATAGAAAAATAATAGGGAAAGTTTTTTTTTTGGCAGGGGGGGCAACTTGACAAGCATATGGTAATCTGATTAGAAACAGGCCACATGTTTTTGCTGGAGGAAGGTGCTGTTTTAACTCGCTTGTTGGACTTCTTCGAAGTTATTGCTTTCTTAGTTCTAGATTTTAACCCATGACTTTCCCTAATATCTATATAAAGATTAGGAATAAATGTAATGTATATAAGTAAATAAAACAGAAACAAATCACAACTGAGGACGTCAAAAATACAATGGGAAGAAAAATGAGTGTTAAAGACAAACGGTATACAATAAGGGAAAAATTAGTAAATAGCAGCTAAGGGAGTTTAAGCCAAGATCTTTTTCATAAAACGTACTTGATCATTGGTTAATATACATGTATGTCCTTCACCCCATTTCCTAAAGTGTTCTGTAGGATAAAAAAAAGAATTTTCTGGGGAAAAAAGAAACTTGACTTTTTCTTTCTTTTTTCATTTGATGAGGTTAAAACTTGGCACATGGGGATGAATACTTCATTAATCCCTCTTTTGTGACTTTTCCAATTAAAAATTCTCAAAGAAAAAGAAGACAGCTTTATGGTTTAATAATTCAATAGCAATTTTTTCATATTAATATATTTCTATACAACTCACCAGCTACTGATCACTCAGAAAGAGATTCTGAAAGGATGAAAACCAAGATAGAACAATTACTTTAAAAAAAATCTAAGTACACGTTTGTGTTTGCAAAGGCCTGAATTATCCTTGTTATCTTCTTTTAACTGGATAATCCTTCCTGATAACGTCATTCTGTTTTCAAAGGTTCTAGGTTCCAAGAACTGAAATCACCTTTACATCTATCAGCTCTATGAGGGTGGCCTGTGTCTGTGTTGTTCATTGTTGTATTCCCAGGGGCTAGTACAGTGTTTGATAAGTATTTCATGAATGAATAAATAAATAACAAAAACAACAATACTGGATATTTAAAGAAGTTCTATAACTAACCCCATTTTTAACAATGAGGAAATATGCACTGAGAAGTAACTTCACTAAGGTGAAGGATCATAGGATACAGTGAGAGCAAACTACAGCCAGCACCTCTCTTCCAGCACTCCTGGGCTCTGAAAGAAGAAGTTGACTGCTTGTTCTAAAAAGTTCTTTCCAATTTTAATATCCTGACACCTTCTGCTTTGAACACAGATAGTCTGGCCTAAGGGCCATATTTAAGTACAATACTATTTCCTTCCCAGAAATCCATGTTCTGTGTGTCAACATATACATGTATGGAAAACTATACACAAAGCGGGAATGTTTTATTTTGCAGGGTTGGGGATGGAACCCAGGGCTTTGTAGCTGGGCCAAGGTTCTACCACTGAGCAATACACTCTAGCCTAAGGGAGAAATCTTAAATTTAACAGAAGTTAAATATTATTATTGCCATCACCAAATACTGGAATTTAGGGCGATAGGAAACTTAAAGTCTAATTTCCCTGATCAAGCACTCTGCAGTTGTAAAACTTCTCAACCTCTAAAGAAAACTGAGGCTTGTAGTAAAGTACCAAAAAGTGCAGGTCCATTCAGATGTAATTGCACATGGGTGTCCTGGATCCAGAATAAAAACTTTCTACATTTTTCATGTTAGTACAGCAGCAAGATTTAAGGTTTTGTGGTGACTGAATCAACGAGGATAATAATTATCATTACATGTGGAACTATGTTGTATATGGAGTTGCCTGTGGCCTCTTCTGGGTTAGTACCTGACTTTTCTGAGGAAAGGGCTTTCTTAAGACCAGGCCACAGTTCATTCAAAAAACAACACAAAACTCTACTTGCTGTCAGGCTTTAGGATACTGGTGTTCTGAACCTTATCACTTTTTGCTTTTTCAGTTCGTCTTTATGGTATTGCTTTTTCTTTTGCAGTACTAGATCTTGAACTCAGGGCCTACACCTTGATCCACTCTACCATCCCCTTTTTGCAAAGGGTTTTTTCGAGATACAGTTTTGCGGAACTATTTGCCTGGGCTGGCTTCGAACTGCAATCCTCCTGATCTCTGCCTCCTGAGAAGCTAGGATTACAGACCTAGCTTGTGCTTTTGGATTTAAGTGCTTTGGGAGATAGATGACCAAAGCTGACCAGGAGAACAAACTTGCACAGACTCCCAAGAAGAATGAAAAGAATCCTGTGGCATGCACAGGATGGAATGAGATGCTGAGAAGATGAGAACAAGGTTTAGAAGTGGGAGAATCCCATGACTACCCTTCAGTAAGTGCTAACAAGACTCAGGGAGCTCAGTGCTGCTCAGGACACATGAAGAATGATTTCTTTTTGTTGCAAGAGCCCCCTGTCTTAGAAGAAGGTTGTTTACAATGTAGTTTAAAGTTCTGGTCACCTTCTACCTGGAAGAACATTGTTACTAGGGAACTCCATAGAAGGCCCTCCTATCACACTGATCCAAGTTTCAGGGAACTTTATTGTTCTGAGGAATGGGGTTAAAAGTCTAGTCTCACTATACAGGAAAAGTATGCCCCGTGGAATATCAGGTTGAAGGGTGGTAAACGAAATTAATGGAGCCTACAGGCTTACAAAGATGAAATACACTTCGATATCCAAAATTAGGGAGTAAAGGGAATCCTGGGTGAAAGCTAGATGGGGGAAAAAATAAAGCAGGCACGTGAAATAAGATACCACTCTTGTGTTCAAACAATGCTGGTGTCAACAGAATTGCAGAACAGGTATGATGATACCATTTGAATGAACAAAAGGAATTGGATGGGAAGGATGTAGTGCTGGCAGGGAAGAGGGTCTTATGGGGATTCAAGAACAGTCTTGTTAGTCTGAGGGTCCTTTTCCTGTTCAACAAATTCTTTTGTTCTGTGTCCTTATCAATCCTATACCTTGCCTAAGTAAGAATGACAGATAAGGCATTCTTAAGGACTTCCTAGCCTTTGAAACTATTTTGGTGTTAAACAAAGAAAGAGCACATGTACGCCATTGTGAAGAACTCAGGCTTCTGTTGGCTTGATAAAATTTCTATGCTGGAATGACCATTTTTGCTGGTGAATAGAGAAAGAAACTTGCCCCATTATGATCTGTGCAATGTTCCAGAAAAATGATAGGCTTGCAGCACCTTGCTAGTTTAGGAGAACAAGCAGCAGTGGCTTGGCTTGGGCTGTGTCAGCAGCAGCCTGGCTAGTATCTTCCTCCCACAGGGAAGGCACATCCTCTCCTAGGCACACCCACTTGCCATTAGTACCAAGAACAATTGTTCCTGGTGTCAAAGCCCAGACACACCCACACAAGGACAATGTAGGCCTGCACAGCCATACTCTCCCAAGCCCTGCTTACTTCCTTTGCTTTTGATTTCCTCCTAGTAAGAGCTCATGAAGTACAGCATTTTCTTGTTTGAAACAACATATTTTAAAGGATGGTCAATGATGACACATGCACTTTCAAGCTCTCTATACTGGGTTTTCCTAATCTCCGAAAAGGTTATTTAATAGATAGAAATTTGCTTCCAAACACAGGAAAAAGAACTGGAAGGATTCTATTTTCACAGTTAATATATACTTAGGTAACTATCACATTTGACTACTTCCCCTTAAAAATGCTACTTTCTATTATCTTTGTTTATTTATATCATATTTGATTCCTTGAGTTTTGTCACCACTGAGTGTGGATCACATTAAAGCAATAATATCAAACTACACAATTTCATAAATTTAGAATATGTACTATTGATACTAACAATCTAGGTTATTTCCTAATTCAGAAACTTCTGTATTTAGAAATTTATCCATTCACCAACCAGTCAGTCAATAATTTTTAAGTACCACCTTATTACAGTCTTTTTTTCTTTTTTCCAAGTCCCTATCTTCAAGGAATTCAATTTGGGAAAGGGAAAAAAGACATGAAAACAAATAACTACAACATGCCTATAGTAAAATTATGTAAAACATATAATGTGGATACACAAGAAAGGGAGAAAGTTCAGTAGTATATTGGCCACAAAAAGCTTCATGGACAAGGAGGCATTTGAGTTGAATCTTAAAAAAATGTCTGGTAGACCTAAGTATGACTTAAGTATGTATGTGAATATGTACTTGAATGGGTGAGCATGTGTGTGGGTATACACAGGCATCATTGGAAAGGTAGGTGACCCCAGCCCCTAAAAGTCCTGTAAGGTCTAGGGGGCTCTGTGAGTCAGACATCCTGTAGGTATCAGGAATCAACCCTTAAAACAGACTAATGAGATAAGACTTGCTCATGCTAAGAGTCTCTATTTCTGAAATCAATGATTTCCTTGGGTGCATTTTACTCTTCTTTTCCTTTATAGAGCAATAGATTTGAGATTAAACCTCAAATTTAATTCATTGACTTCTGGTTTGGGAAGTTTCCACTGAAGGATGCCAGAGAGGCACACTGACAGCTTTGAAGGTTGACAGCAGGCATTCCATGCGAGCATTTTCCCAATCAGCTGGCCAAAGGTGGCCATGCCCTGGGCTATGAGGGAGTCCTTACCACTTCAGTTGGTCGGTAGTATTTGAGATCCACAGTCACGTGAACTTTGCCGGTCTCTTTACATCTGCCCACTTCATTTTCATTCTTGCCTTCCCACCTACAAAGAAGATAAACACTAATCAGATCCTAATTGCTTGGAAGCCTACATTCTCTCCACAGGAAGACATGTCATTCACTGAAGGAGCATTTACCTGCATGCAACCTTTTTATTAGACCAACAGTGGCTTTCAAAACCTTTCTAAATCTTTTTTCAAAGGTAGCTTTTTCCCCGTTTCTCTTTAAGAAAATCCCAATAAAAAAAAAAAAGAAAAAAAAGAAAATCCCAATGAATTCAGAAGTAAGGCATGAGAAATAAACAGACGAGACAAAAACAGGAATTGGGTAACTTTTAGGAATTTTAAAGATTTTGTAGTTTTAGACCATTCCTGATACTGTTAATTATTATGAATTCATGTCTTTTATTCCCTTCCTTTATTTTTCCTCCCTTTTGTACTTTTAGAGCTATTCAGTATTAACTTAATCCATCCCATTTAGGGATAAGTTCCATACCTAATTGTCCATTCAGTTCATGCCCTTGCTCCCCATCAGCAGTGGGTCTCATTAATATACCTCAGATGATTTAAGCCTCCTCAAAGTGTACAATTAGTGGTTTATTTCCTGCTAAGGGAGAGTGCACCAGCATCTCTCTACCATAACCTTCTCTGACTTGGCTTGGACGCTATTTGGACTTGAGTTTCATTCCCTAAACATTCACAGTTGACAACAGCAAGAACACTACACAGGATACACTCCTAAACTTCATAAACTTCTCATGGAGATTTTACCTACCTGTTTTATGTTCTCACTTTTTATAAATGAATCTACTAGTGCCAGGTATAGTGGGACATGCCTATAATCCCAGCTATTTGGAAGGCTGAGGCAGGAGGATCTTGAGTTCTAGGCCTGCCTAGTAAACAGATTCTGTCTCAAAACCAAACAAAACCCAAAACAAATAACAACAATAACAAAAACCCACTTGCTTAATGTTGACCTAAGGGTTTCTACAATCTAATATCCCAACAATAGAATACACTATATAATTTGAGTTACTTATTTTTACAAATGAAATTTTTTGGCAAGGAAAGAAAAATGAAAAAGTATGACTTCAGTGTTTATCCTTAGAATGAGTTTGCTTCACCAGCTAGAGATGAATTCTATGAGCACAGGACAATTCTGTGTGCTTCCCAGATCATTCACAGAGGGGAATCAAAGGGAAGAACAGAACATTAAATTAGTTGCTTGACTATATGAGTTACAGGTGGCAATGAAGGTGATCATTAAGTATTGGAGAAGGTTATGTTTTAAAATAGGTTGAATATTTAAGACACAAATTGGATTTACAAACTTCTGATTAATTTGAATGTTCTATTGAATCACCTCTTGGAAGTAAGAGGGAAACACTTCACTGTTGGAGGAATCATCAGTTTATCATTATGCTGAATTTGCCAAGGGACTCAAGGCAGACATGAAAAATTTCCCATAACAAAAAGAATTATGGCACAATATATTGAACAATAAAAGTATATGCCTGGTCATTTCCCCATACTTTTATGTTAACTCAAAAAACAGGTGTTTGCAATGAGGGGATTGGATTTTGATCACATGATAAAGCAAGAACACACAAGGAAGGTATGAGGATAGGTAAAACACCCAAAAAACCAGATAGCATTTGTTGCCCTCAACGCAGAGAAACTAAAGCAGATACTTTAAAGCAACTGAGGCCAATAGGAGAAGGGGATCAGGAACTAGAGAAAAGGTTAGTTCAAGAAGAATTAACTTAGAAGGTAACACACATGTACAGGAAAGCAATTTGAGTCAACTCCCTGTATAACTATCCTTATTTTAACTAGCAAAAACCCTTGGTCCTTCCTATTATTGCTTATACTCTCTCTTCAACAAAACCAGAGATAAGGGCAAAATAGTTTCTGCCTGGTAGCAAGGGATTGGGGGGAGGTTAAGGGAGGGAGGGGGGGAGGGGATAAGAGTGGAGGTAGGGGGAAGGGGAGAGAAATGACCCAAACATTGTATGCACATATGAATATAATTAAAAAAAAGAAAAAAAACAGGTGTTTGGTAATCTATTTATTGGGTAATCTATTAACTTCTTTCTTAATGTTGAGTAGATCAGTTTGACGAGTAATAGAGAGCTGACAATTTCAAAGCTATGGATCAAAGATAAATGTTTGGAAAATTCACCTCAAAATGGTATGTGGATGTGTTGGGGTGTGAGGACTGAAAACGTTTTAATGAGATAACCTAACACAATGATAGCCTTCATAACCTCTTATGAATTGACTAATATCTACAGAGAAGGAATAAAACTGGCTAAGTCATGATTCTTGAAAAAAAAAAGTATCTAATTATGAAGTTAACAGTTTAAGTGGAACATTTTCTTTGGTTAGGTTTTTGGTAAGTGCAGGGACATTTGTATTTCAAAAGCATATTTTTAACTTTATATTTATCCACGTTTCGTACTTCACAAAGAGAGACAAATCCAACAAATGACAGCCTCTTCAGTAAACCAAGGGGTTAACAGAAACAATATTTACAATTTTGCTTTTCTTCCCCATTTTTAGCTAAATAATTCAGTAGATAGAGCCCATGATGGCTTATGTACACACATCTATTCCACGGATCTCCTTAGATGTCACAAACTTAAGAACTGGTGATTCAATGTATGTCAATTTAAAACACACACACACACAAATACATACTTAAGTTCATAAAGCCTTGGTAAAATCTTGGCGAAATTTCCATGTAAGTCAGAAAAGAATGAGGCCAACCAGCAAGTCTAGCCCTCAGATCCTCAAACCTATGCAGAGAGCCAAGCAGCAACTACTGTAAGTGTTACAGATCTTATATAGTCTCCGTTGCATATTCTTCCATTCTCTTCTTTTTGCTTCCTCTCCACTCCTTTTTTCTTCTTCATTGCTTCTTTTCTTTTCCCCCAAGCCACCCACTAAAATGGAAATCATTGTCCTTACCTCAAGGACAATAAAAAGCAGGCCTCAGCTGGGCTTGGCCTGCAGATCAGAGTTGGCTCCTTGCTTTAGCTGTCTGGGTTAGGGGCATCTTCTTACTGTCAGTGAAAGGAAAGTGTTTAATTCCTGTTTATATCAAGAGGCTGGACCACCGGAATTGTAAGGTCTACTACCAATTCTCTTTGGTTGCTTTGTTAGTTACAGAGAATATTTGGAATTTGTAATGCTAGTTCAAGTGGAAAAAGGCTGAAGAAAGGACATTTCCCCCCTCTATGGCTTATTAAATATACCCTGAAAGTCAGAGATGGGTTTAAGTCCTTTGGCACTTTCAGGTCCAAGCTCCCAGCAAGTCTTTCCTATTGCTGTCTGAACACTGTCTCTGGGCTTACATCTTGCAGAAGTTTGACTTACAGTCAAAAGAGTCTTGAAGGGCATGGCATTGCCCTCTACAATTGATATAGATACACTGAATAATCAAAATGAACCAGGAAATGGCTCAAAGCAGAACTGAGTTGGCAAAAACCACTTTCTAGTTTGCACCAGGTCTGCATGAGGGCAGTAAGCAAAGGTTTTGGCCAAAAGCCAAAAAACATTTAGTTACCATACATGAAATACTTGTATTAACAAGCAAAAGGTAACAGCTAACTTGTCTTAACAAGTAATGTTATGACTCAAACCAGAGCTGCAGTGTCAATGAAGTGAAGATGGCTTGACAGGGAGAGAGGATTCAGCTAACTAATAGGAATTTCTACCCACTAATCTAGATTAGTAGCTCATCAATACAGATCCTGTGTAATTCAATTTTAGTCTATTTGGGAATCAGGATAGGATCCCCATCTCTTACCATTCTTTATCACTTGGCAACTGCCTCATCTGTCTGCGGAAAGTCATTGGACTGAAGGTTAAGTGGCCCAGTGAAGGGTGGGTCAAGATTCTGAAAATGGGAAAACTGAGTGATTATACGTACTGGTGTCTGAGACCCCAACCCAGACCCCAGCAGGTAGCAGTCAGCCTGCCTTTCACACAACAAACTAGGGAGTCTCCTCTGGACATCAGACTCTCCACCTAAATGGCCCTGTCTTGTTATCCCATAGTGACACAGACAACTATAGTCAAGCTCTAACTATGCTTTCAAAACTGCCAATTCATCTTGTAGGCCCTCAGTTTTTAACATAAGCAGAAATGCAAGGATTATCAGACATATATGTGAGGGTAATGAAATAATAACAAGTAGAACAAAAAGCAACTTGAGAGGAAATAGAATAAGCATGGTAAAAAATAAAAAACCAAACCAAATGAACAAAACCTCCTCCACCTCTAATAATCTCAGGCAGAGAAGCAGGAAAAACACAAAGAAATAAGAACAGGAAACTTCTATAAAAAGGACAATTTGAAAAACAAGTGATTTTAAAAATTGAAAAGGAAAACCAGAAATTCAAAATTCAAAAGAGAAGATTTTGAAGATTGTAAGGATAAAGGTCAAGGAAATCTTTTAGAAAGTAGAGCAAAAACATGTAGGCATGGAAAACAGAAGAAAGAAGATAGGAAAATTAGAAGACTGCACATGAGGCAGCATAATAGGATTTCCAGAAAGAGTACAGAAAACATGGAGTACAACAAATTATCTTAAGATTAATCAAGAAAAAAGAAGGAAATAAAGGTGAATATGGTTGATATACTTTCTATATAAGCATGAATACAGACTATCAAAACTTGTTGAAATCACTGAAAGAAAAGAACTAAGGTAGAAAGGAGAAAATTAGAGGGGATGAACCCATTCAAGATATAATATACATGGAAATGTCATAATGAAACACCTTGTGTAACTATCTTAAACAAATAGAAATGTCTTTTTTCAAAAACGGAAGACAGGAAAGTGAACAGGTCCTGTCTGGGGTTTGGTATCAGTAGGATGGAGGAAGACAGGGAAGGGGTGAAGGAGGGTGAATATGGTGGAAATATTACATATTCATATATGAAAATGGAGAAATGAGAACTGTTGAAACTGTTCTAAGAACAGGGGAGGGAGAATAAAGGGGAATGATGGAGGGGGTAAATTTGACTAAGATACATTGTA